ATTCTATTCTTTGTCAACGTAAGGGATTGATGTTTAAAATATGTTTCCACTCTCACAGTTGTATGTAAATTACAAGGGGTTTAGAAGAGATATTTGTTTAGAATTACCTATAACATATAGGACTTTTTAAAACTTAGAAATATCTCTTCTATAAAAAATAATAGCTAACACTTATATATACAACATACTATGTATTATCCTAAGTACTACTTGTTTATTAACTTATTTAACCTAATAAGAACCCAATGAAGAAGTAGTTGATATTGTCCCTATTTTACAAATGGACAAGTGGAGTCATAAAATAACTTGTGAGTCCATAAATATAGTAGAAAAACTGGGGCTCATCCCCAGCAGTTGCCTAGCAAGGTTACATTGCCTCTAATGTTTTAAACTCTCTTTTACTTCAATGGACATGTTTTGAAAAAAAAAATGTATATTGTTTATAAATAAAAAGGTCAGTACAAAACTATACACTTTCATTTCCCAAAAATTTATTTATTTATTTATTTATTTATTTATTTATTTATTTATCCATTCATTCATTCATTCATTCAAGCACTGGGTATAGTCAGAAGTGCGGGAGGTTGAGAGAATTCACCAGAGCAAGAGCAGGGAACAGAACAGGCAGATTTGCAAAATACACTGCTGAGGGGAAAAGCGGGCAGGGCAGGAGAGGTCTGCGTGCCATGTGGGACCCTTGCAGGTGGCAGGGGATCGAACCAGTGTTGCAGAGGCTGCGGTCAGCTTTGCAGCCCAGCACTTTACTGCTACGCCACCAGGGGAGGCCCCTAAAACTATACACTTTTAACTGATTGATCCAAATAGATGATGGTTAAATCATCAGAGAAATGTAAACCAAAAGCGCAATAACAACTCAAACCTGTGAGAACGGATCAAGTTTAAAAATGGATTTTGTTTAAAAACAAACAAAACCACAAACAATGAGAATTGGTAAGGGTGTGGAGAAAAAGGAACCATATTACACTGATGGTAGAGTGTTCCAGCTTCTATGCAAAGAAGTGTGGAGATTCCTCTAAAGACTAAAAACAGGTCTGACAAATGACCCATCAGTTCCACTCCTTTGCATCTTCCAAAGAGCACAAAAGCACTAATTCAAAAGGAAACCCCTACGCCTATGTTTATTGCAGCACTATTTATAATAGCCAAGATATGGAAACAATATAAATGCTCCAGAACAAATGAGTGGTTCATGAAGAGGTTGAATATATACAAAAAGGAATATTACTCAACAATCAAAAAGGATTAACCCATGTCATTCATGGCAACATCTATGAAACTGGAAGGGATTATTCTAAGTTTAGTGAACCCAAAGGTAAAACATAAATACTGGCGGTTTCAACTACATATGGAATTGAGAGAAACCCAAGAATCAGGAAAAAATGCATTGTAAGAACAACTCTTGGAAACAGACCATAGATGTGAGACAATCAGGAGGGATGGGGGTGGGGGAGAGAAAGGGAGAGAGTAGTAAATGGGAGGAGGAGAGCACAATGGAAGATGGTAGACGACTATGGGTGCTTTGGTCGTGGTAAAACAATGGTTATCCTACCTGAAGGAAGAAATACTATATATATATATATATAGTATTTCTATATATATATATATATATATTCTATATATATATTCTATATATATTCTATATATATATTCTATATATATTCTATATATATATGTTCTATATATATATCACACACATATATATATACATGCATATATATATACATGCATATATATATATAAATTAAGGATAGTTTTTTTAAAAAAGAAAACAAAGTAGATTATGGTCAAAACTATTTTTTCTGGATTTTTTTTTCTATTAGATATTTCCTACCCACTAATTGAGAACAAATTATGAGTTAATATATTTTATTAAATTCTGAATGTATGCTCTTCTGAAGTGGATTTAAGCATGATTTCTAACCCTAACATCTGAATATTTCATGGCAGGATAATATTTTGAGACATTAATTTATTCTCTATTTCCTCATCTCTGGTCTTTGTTTAAACAAAGCAGCTTTGTTATTTTTGAAGTGAGGATTGTGTCAGTGCAGAAGAATCTTCAGGAAATTCCTTTCCTCAGTTGTGTTTCTAAAAAGTGTAGTAAGATTTTTTTTTTTCAGTGCCTTGGTTAATTAAAGGAAAGCAAGGAAAAGTTTTGATAGTAGTATGAGTAGAGTTTCTATAGTTTACACTAACAGTGCAGTAATTTTAACAGGAACTGAACTGATGTGTGGGGAGAATAGAAAAGTAAATATATAGGGAATGGACTAACTTTGAGTGAAGATACGTTTTAATTTATTAAAAAAAAAAAATAAACTGAAGAATGGGCCAACACTGTTAGTGCTTAATATGTCTTAGAGTGGAAAAGAAGCAACGGTCCCAAACAAGAATTATCATCTTTAATTGATTTATCTTCTAAATTTAACCTACCTTTCTTGACTTCAGAGATTCTCCAAGATGCTACCCCATTTTCTTCCATATTTAGTTTATTAGATTCTACTGTGGGACGTTCATATTGGAACTAATTTCTCATCTAACATTCAAGTCAAAAACAAATATTGAAAAATTAGCTAATATTTGTATGTGTACCTATACACACATGCATATGCATATGTATGTGTGTGTATGCACACACAATTTTATTTTATTTCAAATGGAATGGTTAAAATCAATTTAATAATGTGGTAGCATACAGTTGAATAGCTTGGATTCCATATTTCTGAATCATAAAGTGTTGCAAACCAATGTTACCTTAATTAAAAAATCATTAACATATAAAGTTAATATGAATGCCATTCTAAAGATATTAGTGAAAAGAAAGCATTCACCTTGACAAATGAGACAAAACAGAAAATTCTCCTCCAAGGGTTATATATGCATGCTTCTAAAATACATCAAGAAGAAGGAAGGGATACATTTCTTTTAGTTAATTTAACTACTTTGCAGGAGAATAGATAAAATCAAGTTTCTCAATTAGCCATCAAAGCTTCTGTTTCAGAGGATTTTCCTTCAAACACTAGAGCAGATATTGATGGCAATGGATGATGAAATCACTGCATTAGGAAAGTGGGATTTAAAGAAAATTCTTCTTATTTTAAAATGAGAAACCAAGCCATATCAATGGGAATGACATATTTTCTCTGATTGCCATTGGTTTAATATCATATTTTGAATAATTTTAGGAACAACTGAATGGTAACATCAGTTTCTTTCAGGATATCATTACAAGAAAATGTAAATGCATTCAATGCATTATGTAGTTTTCAGCACATTTTTGCAATTATAGTCACTATGGTATATTGCAAAATAGCTTATATATATTGTGTGTTTATATAAGGATATTCTATTACTAATTTACATGTTATTTTACAAACAAAATATAGAGAAGCCAATGCAGTTTTATTTCATAATTTCAGTATTTAATTTTAGATAATTTTAAATACTCATAAGAGTTTTTTATATCTACTCAAAAAGTCTGAGGTAAAATATGAAAAATATTCATTTCACAGAAGAAGTAATTTAAAAGGTACTAGTGCTATCTTGATCATTAAAATTCAACATTATATATTATAAGCACTCGGGTGTTTTAATTACTTATAAAACCACTTATACATTAACACGGAAACAATATTGATCCCTTAGAATCAGTCAGAGAAAATAAGAAAATTATATTTATATCACCTTTATGTCTGTCAGCAGTTTTTACAATATATCTAACTTTTTCTATGATCTCCACTAAAAATAAATGTTAATTTTCATGGAGTGGGGTCATTATCAATATAATTAAAAAGAGAAAATGATTTCCAGTAATGTCGTGAGAATTCAATTAAATCCTGTTACATAAAATGTTCTTCCATAAACTTTGCTATATCCATACCCATAAAATGAAAATAACTCTAAATTAAACAATATTATCTTCTCCATTAGTTTTAGCAAATTTATCAATAAATAATGCAATCAGAAAATTATTTCATATTTAACAACTAATTCTCTGATGTATAAATGAGTTTGTAGCAAATATTATCTATCATTAAGCAAAAAGTCCGTAATTAGAAAACCAAAGATCCACAGTGGATTCATAGCCTTTTATAATTTTCTTCTTAATAATAAAGCAAACATTGAGTGTCTGGAAATCTATGCCAGTCACTGTATGAGATGTGAGCAAAATTAAGTTAAATATGATATGGCTCTTATATGAAAAATGTAAAACAAAAAGTAATACGATAAAACACAAAAATCATAAAAGTCATAATGAAACCCAAAATGTGTATCTGCCTGCCTTTAAGTCAAACTGAACTAAAAACATTACATTCAAGTGCATCATCCCAATGTGCTAAGATTTTATTTCCTATTCTTACAAGGCTTTATTTTCAATAATCCTAAAAAAATCCAAACATCTTTGGTAAAAATATAAAAATACCTGATCTGCAAGCTCTGGCTTAAAGAGAAATAATAAATCTTAAATAGTAAAACAAGAATATTTCTTCATAATTATAAACTTAAGAATTCTACTAATAATGATTTGCATATTTACTAAAATATTTTTGAATACGAAGTTTATATGTCAGTTTTGATTTTGGCAAATATTTTGCAAAGATTAAATAATTAATTATGACCTAGAGTCATAAATTAAAATTTAACCAGATAATAAAAAATTAACCACTTGTTAAGGTCAATTGATTTAAAACTAATTGCTTAAATTAATAGAAATACAAATAAAAATATGAAGCCTTTAATTCATTACATCAAACTATGGCAATAAAATCACTGTCACTTATGTGCAAGGCAAACAATGTGTTCCATAAAATATTCATTTCCATCCCAGTCTTTACATTGATTTAGCAGTGTAAAGAACACAAAAATAACAAAAAATAATTTTTGAAAATATAATATTTACAGATTAAAGTTGTTCACTCACCATTTATGCATGAACTATTTTACTACAGTAAAATATTTATTAGCTATCTTAAAATTATTACCTTGAAAGGCAATGGTTCTTCAGTAAGAGGACTGACTGGAAGTGAAGTGCTGCTACTAGCAGGGCTCATATCTGCACTCTGAAAAGAAAAAAACATGAATTGAGGTACTTTTTTGTATTAATTTTTATTCTTAATGTAAAATCTAATCTTTCCTATTAAAATTAAACAAAAATAAGTGAAATATGAAAACAAAAATTCATTATTATTTAATGTATTATTCACTAAGTAGAATTAGTTATCTGAGAAATTAGACATATTACCACTTCTCAGTGTACATTTAAGTATATTTCAATAAATAAAATGATCAATTCTTGTGTTAGGATGGCATTTATTTCATTAGCTTTTTTGAAAATTAAATTATATCTGCAATGATTTATTTTGTTGTTATTTTGCCAGCTTTCAGTTTGATTTTTCAATATTCATTTTTCATTTTTTTCTTTCATGGATATTTGTTTTGTAACCAATTCTTGTTCATTATAAAAACCATATCTTCCATTAATATCAACAGCAAAATGCAGACATTGATTTTTTTTAATAGTAGATTTATTTTCTATGTTTTTAAAGATTTATTTATTTATGCATACAAGAACTGGGGTACAGGCCAGAGGTGTGGGGTGGGGCGAGAGAATTCACCAGTGACAGAGTGGGGAACAAAACAGGCAGACTAACTGAAATACACTGCTGAGGGGAGCAGCGGTCGAGGCGAGTCAGGAGAGGTCTGCTGTGCCATATGGGTAACTCCCTGGCCGGGGATCAAACTTGTGCTGCAGAGGCTGCAGATAGTGTCATAGGTTGTGTCTCAACTCCTGTGCCAACAGGGAGGCCAATATTAGATTTATTTTAAAAATATTCATAGTCCTGATATTTTACAATTTTCTTAATATATTCTGTTAAGCAAAACTTTTAAGGACAAAAGTTTTATACAAATATAAGAGAATTATTAGTATACTGCTAGTACTGATAGTTAGTCCATTAAAATATAATCAATAAAACTTAAGTAATTGATTATCATAACAAAATATATTTTAGGTACTCATAATTATTTTTATAAAAGGATGAAAAGATACCATATAATATATAGTAAGTTGATTTATTTCACTATATTGTTAATTTTTCTTTTTTTCTTTTATATATTTTTACATCATTTTTCATTTTTGCACAATGTATGCATTTTCATCTTGGTTATATTACCCATACAATTCCCACCCCTCTTATTTTGACCCTAATCCCTCCCCCACCAGTGTGTCTCTGGTTTATAGTTGCTTGTTGATTTTGATTTTTACTTTATTATAATTAGTCCTTTTCCTGGTCTCTTATTTAGGTTTTCTAAATTCCTGCTATGAGTGAGACCATCGGCATTTTTCTCTTTCTTTCTGGTTTATTCCACTGAGCATGATCCATTCCAGCTCCATCCATGTTGCTGCAAATTGCTTGAGTTTATCTTTTTTGATTGCTGAGTAATATTCAGCATCACTTTTAATCAGGGAAATGCAAATCAAAACTACAATGAGATACCACCTTACACCAGCGTGAATGGCACATATTAAACAAAAAACTAGCAACAACAAATGTTGGTGAGAATGTGGAGAAAAAGGAACTCTCCTGCACTGCTGGTGGGAGTGCAAACTGGTCCAACCCCTATGGAAAGCTGTGGGGAGATTTCTCAACCTGCTAAAGATGGAGCTTCCATATACCTAGGCAATGTCACGCCTAGGTATTTACCCAAAGGACACAGAATCATTAATTCAAAAGGGCACCTGCACCCCTATGTTTATAGCAGCACTATTTATAATAGCTAAGCTATGGAAACAACCCAAATACCCAAAAATAGATGACTGGATCAAGATGATGTAGTACATAAAAACAATGGAATATTTCACCATATTCTTAGCTATTTCTCTCAGAGGAATTTTTCCATTTAAGTAAATAAGAAAATAAAATTTGAAATAAATACATGCCTATATATTTTTCAGCTTGGATTCCAAATGAACATGTGTACAGATACAGAAAAAAATTTGCAGTAAAGATTATAGCAAAAAATAATTAAACTTGATTAAGATGAGAGAACAAGTAGACAAGTTTGACTGATATAAGTTCAGTCAAAGGACCTGATGTTCCTTAGCAACTTCTATTTTTTTATTAGTATCATGTATTCAATTGATCCAGGTGTACAATAAACAAATACATGCTTTAAATATCCACCAAAGGGGAATTATATCCCACTGTCTAGTCTAGAAGCAATAGAAAACTCTACATATTGGAACAAAGATAGTATTTTTTTTTTTTTATATATAACGTATACTGCAACATCTAGAAACTGATATAAGCCTGTGTTGATTCAGAATAGCTCTAGGAGGTAATTAGGTGAAAAACTGAATAATAATCTACTAAAGGAATCTGTAAAATCTTGCACTATGGTAGAAGTGAGTAAGTTACTGATTTTAATTTCTAAATTTACTCAATTTTTTGACCTTTTGATCAAAATCAGGAAATATTCTGAAGTGCTGACCTTCACTATATTATTATGTAATGGAGAAGCAAAGATTTTCTTTGGAATGAATTTATCACAGTATTCTAACATAAGAAATGATTAATATTCTTTTTTGGAAGAAATAGAAAAACATGACTACTGAGAGATATTTTTTCAACATTAGATATTGCATGATAGATTATTAAGCAAGTGGTAGTATACTCATATGTAGCTCAATTATCTGATATTTTCCTGAAGTACTGATATTCTGTGTAGCACATTTAAGTATCATGGTCTTAAAAATAATATATTAAGGAAACAGAGAGGATATTCAGTTGTGAAAATAGCCTAGATCATATTGAAACTTTTTTTTTTAAAGATTTATTTATTTATTTATACAAGCACTGGGTACAGTCAGAAGCGCAGGAGGGCGAGAGAATTCACCAGAGCCAGAGCAGGGAACACAACAGGCAGACCGACGAAATACACTGCTGAGGGGAGCAGCGGGAGCGGCAAGAGAGATCTGTCGCGCCATGCGGGACCCTCGCCTGGCAGCCAGGGACTGAACCAGTGCTGCAGCGGCTGCAGGCAGCTTCGCAGCCCAGTGCTCAAATGCTGTGCCACCAGGGGAGGCCTGATGATATTGAAACTTTTAAAAAGAGTACTACAAAAGGACACTTATGACAATACTAAAATAATACTACAATAGGATCAAAGGACAGAGCCAACCCAACGTGGTAGACAGATCACTGTCAGTGAGTTCTTACCCTTTGTGAAACCACTCAGCTTACAACCCTGTCTAACAACAGGGTTTATTCAACAATCAGGAGACTGGGGAAATGGATAGAGTTTCAAGGCCACAAATGGCCAATTGTCTCATGCCAGACAGTGTCCAAAGTCCCAAACAACAGCCACTCACAGAAGGTGAGGTGACACAGCAACAGCCCACAGCAGCAGCTGGGCCTGATATAGAACCAGGTAGTTAGAGACTCGATGGCAACAGGGGTGGGGCTGAGAATCAGAGGCTATGGTCAGCAATTCGAAATGCTGTAATGAGCCCAACAGTACTTCTTGCAGACAAATATCAGAGGTAGGGTTGGAGGCAAATGAAGTAGTTGAGTCTGCAAAAGTCTGTGGAGGTGTGGATGTCTAGAGGTCTGGAAGTCTGGAATTCCACACAGGTTTGCTGAATCCCCTGGAGGTCCACAATGCTTCCATCTTTTTAGAAGCCATCTGCTGAATCTTTCTTCTTTCAAGGTTGTCCGATAAATGCTTCCTCTCTGAAGACCAGGAACAGAAATCTTCTTTGTCAGAGTCTGGGAGCAGAATCCTTCTTTGAAGTTGGTTTAATGAAAGTGTCTTTCGCTTCAGAGACCAGAAAACCATTCTTTGTGAGACTTGGAGCAGGATGCATCAAGCTGGTTCGTGCTCTGCCTTTCATTTCCTTTAGGGTCCCCCACACTATAAATTGGAGCATTTTCAAACCCAAGCATATGGTTGGACTGTTTAGCACCAAGCAGCTTGTTTTGCATTTTTATTTTTTTTTTTTAATTTTTTTTTTTAATTTTTATTTTTTTTTTTAAATTTTTATTTTTTTTTTTATAGAGGCATGCTTTTATTTATTTATTTTATTTGTTTGTTTGTTTTGTTTATACATGCACTGGGTACAGTCAGAAGCGCGGGAGGGTGAGAGAATTCACCAGAGCCAGAGTGGGGAGCAGAGCAGGCAGAAGGACCGAAGTACACTGCTGAGGGGAGCAGCGGGCGGCAGGAGAGGTCTGCGCGCCATGTGGGACCCTCCTCCGGTGGCCAGGAAGCAGCCGGGGCCGCAGGCAGCTTCGCAACCCAGCGCTCAACCGCTGCGCCACCTGGGAGGCCCTTGTTTTGCATTTTTAAACTGAATAACTAATGATGTAGCATGAACATGATTGGTCCATTTAGCTTGCACCTAATGATCCTTTTAGTTTACACCTGATTGGTTCATGTATGATCCTTGAATTAGATATAAAATAGGGAAATGTCTACTCCAGCCTACACTCAGGGCAGTGCAGGCTGATGGTCCTGTGGACTCCGGGGAGCCATGGGTGGAGCTGGCTTTGCTGGAGCTGAGGGAGAAGGAACACCCACAATGGGAGGATGAGAGCAGTGTGCCTCAGTCCCAACTAAGCCACCTTGCCCTGTATCTTCCAGCACTGCAGCGACCCAGTTACAATATTACTGCAGACAGAGGTTCCTAAACTTCCATACATAAGCTCAAATCAAGCTTCTTGGGTAACTATTTTTTTTAGGATTGAGTTCCCCCACAACTTCCCAGATATAATGTGTTATTCTAAACATTGAGGAAAGTAGACTTCAAGGGCCTCCCCTGTGATACAGCGGTTGAGCGCTGGGTTGCGAAGCTGCCCACAGCCTCTGCAGTGCCGGTTCGATCCCCGGCTGATCCCCAGCCACCAGAGGAGGGTCCCACATGGCGCACAGACCTCTCCTGCCGCCCGCTGCTCCCCTCAGCAGTGTACTTCGGTCCTTCTGCCTGCTCTGCTCCCAGCTCTGGCATTGGTGAATTCTCTCACCACTCAGCGCTTCTGACTGTACCCAGTGCTTGTATAAA